AGAGAGTATGAATATTATTGAGAATCCAAAGATATATTACTTATATGGTATATTTTGATATATTTTGATTATCATATTTTGTAATACTAAGGAGTATTATCACATAATTGTCTAAATAAATGTGGGACATGCAAACACATAAAAACATAAAAAACATACATATCCACAGAACCTGAACCCCTCACATGGGTAGATGTAGTGTGGATATTTAATAACAAAAAACTTTTTTTTAATATAAAGAACCACTTAGGGAATAAAAATCCCATGCAATAAATTTATTTTAAAAAAAATAAAAAAATCTTAAAAGTCCATTGTAACGTGATATAGATCTCTTAAGAAGAATATCTTGTTGGAAATTAGCCCTGTATGTAAATAATATATTAGAGAAAGTCTGCATTGAGACCACCTTGGTACAGAGAACCCAACAGGTACCCTGCTGTGTTAGCCTGTCTTCTCTGCTTCCTTGTCACAGTTCTCCACATGATATCTAGACAGGGTTGCCCCCTAAGTGCCCAACAGGGGATATGAACCTGGATCCTTCTGTGTACTGGGCCTGCTATACTGCCGCCAAGCCACAGCAGATTGTTCTTTTGAATATATTCTATCTTTGTTATTCCTGGCTTTGTCTGCAGCACTACGGGGCTGGACTCCATCTGTGGCTGATACCTGTGCTTCACCTGAGGCTAATCAACCAGGTATTTAAACACTGCCTTGCCCTGGGAACTTTGTCAGTTCTTTGATTTTGGTGATCATGTGTTGCTGTTTTGTCTCCTGAAACTTGTTCTCCAGGTTGACCCAGGCTCCTGACCTTGGCTTCCTTCCTTGTTTATCCTGACCTCTGGCATCCTCTGACTTTGGGTTATCCTTGACAATCCTTCTGGTGGTGTCCTTGTCTGTACTGCGAATTGGAGCACCTTTCATGCACAGCCCCATGCACAGATTCACAGTCCTGGTGGTTTCTAACCTTATCACCTTGGACTGTGTTTATCTGCAAGGGTGAGCACAAATCTCTGCCTACCGGACTCCCACCTCAAGTAGGACCCTGACATTCCTCCTCTCCAATGTGGTGGAATATATTCTATTCTAAGAAGGAGAATTAATTCAAACTAAAGTGTGAACAGAAATTGCAATGTACGGGGACTGTGTGGTTGATGGCCTTCTTTCTGATGTTTCCAAAATGTTCTAGGATTCTCACTGTGTTTTCTTTTTGTTTTGCCCACATATTGTTTGCTACATGGGCACTGTAAAAAGTATATCACGTGATCTGTGTGGCGATCTATTTTGTATTTGATTGTGTATTGTTTCCCTGTTACTGTACTAGTTAAGTACTTTAACATAGACATAGAGATTTTATTACATGCTTTGCAGTATCTGAATCCTTTATCTGAAGTGTAATCCTCTGTCTTGTCCATATGTTTAATGATGTAACTTGGAGCTAATTTATTAAGATTTTGGTTCTTTTTAAAAATAATGGGAGGTCATTCTGGCAAAATGGATCCTAGGATATTATCCTCTTGAAGAATAGGCCAATATTTCGATATCGCTCTTTTGATTTTAAAGTGGTCAGTGTTGTTCCTAGTGGTGAAGACATGTTCAAATTTCTGTCTGTTTTTTTTTTTTGTTACTAGAGTGTGTTGGTCTATCTATCATTAATTTGTTTCTATCTATCTCTGCAATTCTTTTAATCTTCTTTTCAATATGATTTTTCTTGTAACCTTTCATCATTAGTTTGTATTTTACAATGGCAGCTTGTTGACATGCGGGTACAGCACCCGCGAACATCTACTGAAAAATCTGAAACAGCTGGACAGTGTGCAAGACGCCCCTTGGACCACCAATGGAAGAGATGACAGCCAGATATAAGGAAGAACTGGGGAGGGAAGGGTTATACTGCTATTTTGTCCTTTTGTTAGGATATTTTACATGTACTAATTTGTTTTTTATTACTGCGTCTTATGTAAGACAAAACGTGTAGGACCAGATTAGTTTTTTTATACTTATACAAATAAAGGAGATTAATTTTTTTTTTTACCATTTCCTGAGTCTAGACTTCCATATTGTGGCTACACCACCAACCATCTGAGAGGGAGTACTGGATATACCCCCAAACATCTAAGGGGAGGCACCCTGAGGCTATCTTACTACCTACATCTTGTGAGTTCAATTCATATTGGCATAGTTTTATTGTTTATTTACAGTATTACACTATTGTACTGTTTTTCTTTCTGTAGATTATCAGCTATACTCCTATCTATATACACATTCACACACCGACTGCTAAATACGCAGTCACACACAAACACATACAAGCTCACTGACACACAAACTTTCTCAATAGCAGGCGCGCATACACACACACACACACACACACACAGCTGAGTATTTCAAGCCTACCTGGCACTGGAGGCTGTTGCTATGAGGTCAGGTAGCCATCTGCAGCAAGGTCTCCTGCTTAACGTGGGGGCAGAGCTTGATGGCAGGAGGCGAAGCTCCTTGCATGCATGGGCGGAGCCTGCATCCGCGAGGCAGAGCAGGAGCCTGTGTGCGGGGGAAGCTGCTGGGAAATTGGAAGGGAGACTGTCAGTGCTCCCTCCAGCCCCCTGCACCTCTCTATAGCCCCAAACATCTCTCTTGGACTGTAACAGGCAGTTACAAGCCGAGGGAAAATAATAAAAGCAGATGCCAATGCAAGCTGCCGGTACTGTCCCGGGAGGGTGATTTGCCCGGGACAGACTCCAGCTTGCCGGGACTGTCCCAACAAAAATGGGACAGTTGGCAACTATGGAATTTATGCACAGTCAGAACTTCAGATAATGACAGTGTGAAAGCAACCTGCCGTATATCATTGGCAAAAACACAAACTTCCTTTACTTCTGAAACCTCATTGCAAGCCAAGTCATTTGTCCTTAGATGGACAAGTACATTCAAGTCCCCATCCTGCTTTGCTCACTTAACAGTATTACAAATACATCTCCTGTCGCTGTGAGCAGTAGCTCCAGGAAGACATCTCACAAGGCCACTATTGTCTAGCTCCACACCTCTTATGATAGAATCCTCCAGCAACAACTGCTTTCTATCATGCCTCACCTTATTCTCTTTGTCATTGGTTCCAGTATTGCACAACTTTGACAGAGGATGGTGGTTCCACAAACTCGGTGCCTGAACCTGTCTCCACAACACCACTGCACTCAGTGCCTGAGCCGGTCTCCATAACACCATTACACTCTGAAAGTGCTGAAAATTAATTCTACCAGAACCTACAGTAATCCATCTGTCATTCCTAGGACGTCTCTGCAGCAGTGGCTTTGCAACAGTTCATGCCTGAGTTTGTTTACCGGATAATTTACAAATCTCAGACTTCAAAAATACAATCTCCTGCTGCAATATACAGAACGGTCTACAGATTAGACAGCATCCAAATCTCCAGAAAGTTGAACGTGAAACAAATGCATAACAACTATTACACTGAACTAATAAGTTAAAAGCAACTTGATAGATAAACACCAATAAACACTGATGAGTAGCTATTGAAGTTAGACAATGAGACCCGATATGGTTACCATAACCACTGTGTCACTGCAGAAATAGCCGCCACCTGCGGTTAGAAATGTAAGAATTTGGTGCCTATTGAATAGACAATAGTAGTTGCAGGACTCTGTGGAAATGGTATTAAATAGTAGCTTCGATGTGTATTCACAAATTAGCAACAATAGGCAAAAAATGTATCAGCTGATTGTATGTTTTCTTCCCATATAAGGGTAAGGAAAATAAGAAATAGCTGAGTTATTAATCTAGTAGAGGTTCTATCATATACATAAACCAATACACTTAAAGATAAATAAAATAGGTAGGAAAGTAAATTATCCCACTGTAGTCGAAATCCAAAATGCTATGTCATTTATATAGTGTATACAACAGATTGCTTATAATATAAAAGATTTTATTAGCATAAATATACTGTCCTCTGATGACACCCCAATATGTGTTCAGCAACATCTCCCGAGTACAGGGATACCCCCCATGTATAGGTGTGTTGGGTTGTTGGGGGCTAAAATGCCACATTTGCAGGTGCGCATATCAGTTTCCCAGCTTGGAATTTCGACATGTAGTCAACCTGCATGCATGTCCTATTTGGGACATTTTTTAAGCCGGCCAATGTATTTTACCCCCATCAAACCATATATTTTTGAAAAGTAGACATCCTAGGGTATTTCACATGGTGGTATTTTAACACTTTCCATGCACTAATTCTACCACCAGGCTTTGTCAAACATTGAGGTAGTAATTTGCAGTGGCGTACTAAGGGGGGATGTGGGGGGGTGGTCCGCCCCGGGTGCCAGCAGGGTGGGGGGTGCCTTGGGAGGGGGTGCCAGCCCCCCTCCTGCTGCAGCCGCCCGAGCGCTCTGTAGAGAGCCTCAGGCGGCTGCAGCTTTGCCCGCCCGGGCGCAGCCTAAAGAGAGGGGCTGACAGGAGGGAGCGCTCAGCGCTCCCTCCTGTCACTCCCTCACTGTAGCGTGGCCGAGCCCAGTATAGTCCGCGGGTACAGGGAGCATCTGTCTCCTGTACCCGGCCGGACTAACAGGAAGTACACACTGAGTGTGCACTTCCTGTTAGTCCGGCCGGGTACAGAAAACAAAAGCTACCTGTAACCGCGGACTATACTGGGCTCGGCCACGCTACAACTGAGGTGGAGGGGGTGGTGGAATAAGGAGAGATGGGGGGTGGAATAAGGAGAGATGGGGGGTGGTGGAATAAGGAGAGATGGGGGTGGTGGAATAAGGAGAGATGGGGGTGGTGGAATAAGGAGAGATGGGGGGGTGGTGGAATAAGGAGAGATGGGGGCTGGAATAAGGAGAGATGGGGGCTGAACAAGGAGAGATGGGGTGGAATAAGGAGAGATGGGGGCTGGAATATGAGATGGGGCTGGAATATGAGAGATGGGGCTGGAATACAGGAGATGGGGCTGGAATAAGGAGAGATGGGGCTGGAATAAGGAGAGATGGGGGGTGGAACAAGGAGAGATGGGGGTGGAACAAGGAGAGACTGGGGGGGAATAAGGATTCCTAAAATTTTAATCTCTAGTTCAGGGCACACAATTTCCAATAATTTCTAGCCATTGGCTTGAAGTTTGTTTTTTAAATTTTGAGGCTGCATCATGAGTACATGCAGCACATGACGCAGCAGCACATTTTACTTTTTGCAACTATGTGTCACTACTATGTTTATTCCGGAATCCATTATAGAGAAACATTTAGTTGAATTAATGTAATTAAATAATAATTTGAGAATAGGGTATAATAAGGGGGAGAATAAGGAGAGATGGGGGAATAAGGAGAGATGGGGAGGGGATAAGGAGAGATGGGGAGGGGGGAATAAGGAGAGAAATTGGGAGGGGGGAAGGAAATTGGAGGGGGGATAAAGAAAGATTGGGAGAGGGGGATAAAGAAAGAAATTGGGAGGGGGAGAGAGAAGGAAATTGGAGGGGGGGGGAGATTGACATTCATCACACACAATGCACCCCTTGCACACAGAAAAAACACACAATGCATTACACACACTGCATTACACACACAGACACACATACACAAGCAATGCAACCGTTACACACAATGCATCCCTTACACACACAGAAACACACAATGCATTCATTACACACACTCAATGCACCCCTTACACACACTCAATGCATCTCGTACATACACAGAAACACACCTTGCAGCCCTTACACATACAAACACAGATTCACACAATGCATTCCTTACACACATATCAGGACATCCCCTACACACTCCACCCCCTGTGAACAAACTCATTGGTGGAACATGAAGGTGGACCCTGGGACCCAGACCTTGAGCTGTGTAAAGGGCTCCCCAAAAAATGGAGCTGCTTCCCGTTCTCCCAGAACATTGATTTTTGTGACCACAGTTACAAACCGCCTCCAGAGAGCCAGACCAGTGGAGCCAGACTGCAGCTAGAGCCCGTCATCATCCTCATCTGGTTGTAAGTAGGCAATCTAGTATATTATTCGTGGCACTAATCTCTAATTTACCTCACATTAAAGAAACACTATAGTCCCCAGAACCACTGCAGCTTAATGTAGTGGTTCTGGTGTCTATAGTCTGTCCCTGCAGGCCTTTTAATGTAAACACTGCGGCACTGCAGCACTGGCGTTAGATAACATGGCAAATCATATGGGTGGGGCATTGTGATGTCACATGGGGGGGCGGCAAACTTTACATTTGCCTAGGGCGGCAAAAATCCTTGCACCGGCCCTGGCTGGAGGGGGCTGTGTGAGCTGTGGCCGCACAGTGCCCCATGGTAGTTAGGGTGCACGGAGGAAAAGTGGGGCGGAGCTAAGCAAAATCAGAGGTGGAGCCAAACTGGCAGTGGGGGCGGGGCTTTTGGGGAGGGGGCAAGGGGGTGCCAAGCACAGGACCCGCCCCGGGTGCCAAATGCTCTAGGTACGCCCCTGTACAGCCCCATCCTCCTCCACACAGTACAGCTCTTACCTCCCTGTGTACACAATACAGTTCTCCCCACTACAACCTACTCTCCTAAACACACATACATCTCCTCTCTTCCCCACACACACTTCAGCCGCTTTCTCCCCTAGACTAAAGTGTCAATCCCCATGCGCACTATAGTCCATAATACCCTATATCCCACACCCCCACTACAGTCCCTATCCACTTCACAAACTAGTGCCCTTCTTCACCCACATACACTTCAGCCCCTCTCAGCCAAATTACACACTACAGTCCCTATCACACGCACTAAAACCCCTACTCCCTACACACAGTACAGCCCCTACCCCCTCACAAACTGCAGATCATATCCCCCACTATACACACATTGCAGCTCGTCCCCCAAACACTCAATCCTCTACCCCCATACTCACTATAGTCCCTATATATCACTATACAGCCCCCACCCACACACACACTATCGCCCTAATCCCGTCACACACTACAATCCCTATCAGAAGACATATTGTAGTCCCTCCCCCCATACACTAAAGCTTCTTACTTCCCATGCACACTACAGTCTCTATCCCCCTACACACACACTACAACCTCTATCCATCTATACATATACACTACGACCCCAACCCCTCAAAAAGTACTACTCCGTTCCTCCCAATACACTACAGTGCCTATCCCCCTCCCACACACTACAGCCCCCTTTCCCCACCAAACATTACAGCCCCTATCCTCACACTACTATTCCTACCCACACACACTACAACCTACCATGCTAAACACATACATCTCCTCTCTTCCCCACACAGTAGAGCCTATCATGCACATCCACATTATATACCCTATTCTCCTAATCCCATACTATTCACCTGTTCCCCTTACCACACACCGCAGCTGCTATCACACACACACATTACAGCCACTATTCCCCCCACACGCACTACAGTTCCTTTCCCCATGCACATAATAGCTTCTATTCCTGCCACCATGCCCACTACAGCCCCTACCCCCCCACACTACTGCCCCTTATTTTACCCACAATAACAAAAGCAATGGTTATCAAAGGCTACTGCAGTTGAAATAGCAAGTTCAAACATTGAGCACCATTATAGAGATACTGCAATGGCACTGCACATATGAGTACAATGTTATTAAGGAGCAGCTTATAATGGAATGCATTTTTACAGAATGGGATACACTTAAAGAGATGTATGCATCTCTGTACGCCTGCAGCTGTACCTTACCACAAGCAATCCATAACCCTAGATTTAAACATCACTGGCATAAACAACCTGCTTTTATGAATACAGGGTTATTATAGTGGTACTCAAATGACGCGCAACAAATCAAACCCACCATTCTAATAACTCTATTTTAATAGATACCTCATCAAAGTAGTTAAAACGGCAAAAGTATTAGGCGCAAAAGAATGTAGCTAATGATGGGTGGATCGGTTCTGTAACTAGCCACTACAATGATTTCCTTCAATAAACTTTTTCTTACTCTATGAAACAAAGAATAAATCACCAATCATGGGAGCTTTCCTAATGAAACAATTCAGTAACCAGACAATTATAAGTCCTCCTACAGTACCAAATTACCAGCATCTGTTTCAGAGATGGGCAAAACCATTGGCACATCCATAGCTCGCATAGAAATCTTCCAGGATTCTCACCAACAGTTAGAATCATCAGTCTATTTAATAACAGTGATGTGCTTCAAACACATCCAATCGTTCGTGTAGCCTGCAGTCCAATCACCTCCTCACACCTTCTTGTCAATACATGCCTTACCCTTCTTGTAACACTTACTAAATCCTTCCCTGATTCCATTATAATCATGTTGTACCTTCCACCCTTCTGCAAATCTCTAATGCTATATACAGATTTATATTTCCTTAAAAAGTTAAACGCTTCATGGTTGAAGGAATATTTAAACACGACAAAGCATGGTTTATACATAACAATGCGTCCCGTGATATAGCATTATTATAATCGTTTTGCTGTAATGAGAATATTTAATTTTTGGAATTAGAACCAGAAAATTCCACATGGTCCTTTGGCTAACCAACCCTTTTGATATAAAACATGGCTATTAAAGGAACATTGCCACTACTAGAGCTCCACTGAAAGAAATCCACTAACAAACACACATCATACCCATATTTTGTTTATTTATACATAGTGACGTCTAGATCTATTATATTCTCTCCATGCTATATAACTCTCCTTGCCATGGGCACTAACTAATTCATGTTAACTAGTATTATCGATGTTTTAAATGGAAAGTAATTTTCTTGATTGTGAATAAAGTGCTCCAATCCTGAAAATGCATTCTAACATTTTATGTGGATAGCGCAGATACATATCCCTAATCAAAATAAAGCTTGTTTGTGCCAATATTGGTCAGTCTACACTGATCGACATTATCATCCCTACAACCAGTACTCTAACCCAGTGTTGAAATGGAATATAATCACAAGGCTCATTCGAGGGAAACACTAAAAAACTACTCACTAGAGACATTTTATTTCGCAGCTTGTTGTACAGTACACAGACCCCCAATCTTGAGTGCAGCATTGTTTGTGAGTGACAGATATGTCATACAGTTATACACAAAATTATTTAGCTAAATTATCTAGATTCTATTGTGAATTCAAGGTGGACTGAACCCGTAGTTCTATTGGAGATTTTTCTTCTAAGGGTCTATTTTGTCTATAAGTAAACTCACTTTGAATTCACTGTGAATTCCTAAAATTTTAATCTCTAGTTCAGGGCACAAAATTTCCAATAATTTCTAGCCATTGGCTTGAAGTTTGTTTTTTTAAATTTTGAGGCCGCATCATGAGCACATGCAGCACATGACGCAGCAGCACATGACGCAGCAGCACATTTTACTTTTTGCAACTGTGTCACTACTATGTTTATTCCGGAATCCATTATAGAGAAACATTTAGTTGAATTAATGTAATTAAATAATAATTTGAGAATAGGGTATAATAAAAGAGAACATAGGCCTTAGCATCCCTATTTCTTTTGATGAATTTGGTCTGTAAATTGTTCTTGCATAGACTGAATGCCAAGCATTCATATGATTTCACAGTATTTTTTGTGCTATGAAAACATTGGTATTTTATTTAAAAAATTACTATATGAATACAGTAGAAAAGCAAAGGATAAACAATAAAACATTATATTTGACTCTGCAGAAGTAATTTTATATATTTCAGGTTTATATTTTCGTTTTGATAAGTTTTCTTTTTTCTAATGCCCATAAATGTGCTCTCATTTTATTTGTTTTGGCTGTACATTACATCAATTTGTGGTAATAAATTCTTTAAAAAATTAATTAATTATAAGAAAAAAATAATTAAAATTAGATTTAATAAACTGCAAATGAATTTACAGTCTTCCGATAAATTGTTCTTTGTTCATTAGTCTTCAACTGGAATTGTTTATTTATTTATTTATTTTTAGTTTACCTTGAGATTTCAATCATTTTATTTACAATCACCGGGATCATTTAATCTACATACATAGAACGTATTAATACTTCATGCTTTGTAAATGATAATTGAAATGTCACTCAAAATATGTTACAAATATATTTTACACTGCAGGATGCTGGGAATCTAAATTCTACGGATATTGCTTGTCCTTCAAGTAAAATAGTTCATTACAGTGTTGAGTATGATCGATACCCAAAAATACTGAGGAAAAAAGTGCAATAACTTGTAATTCAGTACTAATATAATAAGTAAACATATTTTTCATTTTCTTTAACTCTTTGACATCTTTTGGCTCACCCACAACAAAATGCTAGTTTTCAATAAGTCAATCTTTTTCTGATACAATGCATATGTGCAAAATTCTTAAATAATAAGTATATTAATCACCTTTAAATATTTGAATGCTACATTTCCCCCCACCCCACATCGGGGGACATCAATGAAGAGGACATCAATGAAGTTCATCTGTCATATAGATGAACCCGTGGGTCTGATCGTCACTAATTAATGGTGCACATTGACGAAGAAGAGTTAAACTCTTTCAGTATTTTCTTTTTCTTTCTTTCCTCACCAAAAGTTTGAGTACGTTTACCAGTTAAACATCATATTTTGTCCGAGGGTCATGAAGTATATCTGACTGCAGCCAGCAGATTGTATTGACGCAAAAAAAACCTGGAAAATAAAATTGTACATAGGTTTAATTTTTGTTTTTTATCCGACTGTGCTTCAGAATGAAGAAATAACGGGTGGATATTTATTATTCGTACTTTTTTTTAATTCACTTAACCTTGAACATATTGCGCAGCATTTAAAAAGGAGATATATATAAAAAAAAAGAATGAACAATTTTAGGTAAATAGAAATAAGAGATGAAAAGAGT